AATTCTAATTTCATAATTTTAATAATGTAATGTTAATACAGATTTTAATAACTTTGATTTGTCTCTATTACTACCTCCGTCCTTTAAAACTTGGCCAAATTTCCTTTTTTGGCCGTCCCAAAATTTTTTGCCATTTCCATTTAAAGTAACAAATAGGTGGTTAAAGTTATTTCTCTCTCTTCTGCACAAATATCAACCACACAGTTTTTACTTTATTAATCTACGTGCAAGTCAACATTGACCAAGTTTTATGGGACGGAGGGAGTATTATTTAAATTTACAGTTTCTTATCTGCCGTTTAATTATTCTCCGAGTATGAGGACAACTAAAGTCAATTATAGAGAGCAATCTTCATATGTGTGTCTTTCAAGTTACCAACATGGGTGTGACGAAGTATCAACACATATAGAGGTTGTACTTCCATCACAATCATATCAGATTGAAGGTGTGACTGTTATTACTATTATATTCTCATTCAACTTTTAAATTTTAGTTAAATAATAGTGGACTTTCTTAACATTAATTCATACTATGCTTACTTCAAACTTCACCTTAACATGTATTTATCCCTTCTTATTCCAAAAACAGAATTCGTTATGATCATGTGTTATAAGTATTTTTTCTTTAATTATAATTATATACGTGTATTACATACATCTACATGCTTTGCATTTATTTACCCATCAACTAATAATATTAACAAATAATATCATATAATTATTATTTAATATATGTCCCGTGCATCGCACGGGTGAAAATCTAGTTCTACACAACATTCAATTTTTTTTTCAACCACTTATTATTAAAATAATTTCAACCACTTCTCCCAACCACTTGCACCCACCTAAACCCACTCCCAACTATCAATAATTTTGATCTAAAAAAATACCTCGGGTACAAAAGTGTACAGATTGTACTCACTTTAAATTAAATCAATCAACTTTTAATTTTTCTTACAAATTCCCTGTCACTTTAAAGGCGTGGTATGGACGTTTAATTGCCCTTGAACGAAGATTCGGAAACTGGGAGGCGGCCTAAAATGATTTACCCAATTTGTTGCTTGCGATAAGAGAATCAAATCCGGGGTCAGTGGTAGATTTCCAACCAAAACTAACCAGTCATGATGGTACGTATGAATTTCATCGTGCGTTTTGGGCTTTTAAAGCTTCCATTGATGGGTTTGAACATTGTCTGCCCATAGTATCTGTTGACGGTACTCACTTGTACGGAAAGTTCAAGGGTCATCTCCTGGTTGCAGTCGCCATGAATGCTAACCGTGAGATTTTCCCTCTCGCGTACGCAGTTGTGGAAAGTGAAAACACAAGTAGTTGGTCCTAGTTTTTGGAACACATTATGACTTATGTTGTCAGACCAAATCGGCATGTGTGCATAATATCAGATCGACACCCTGGCATCCTAAGTGCCTATCAATCAGTACCTCAATTGAAAACCTCCCAAGATTCGAAGCGGTTCTGCCTCCGACACATTAGAAGCAATTTCATGACAAAATTCAGGAGCACTGAACTGAAAAAGCTCTGTTGGCAGGCCGGGAGTACACCCATGGTGAGTGAATTTTACCAAACAATGGCTCAAATTCGTGCTACGAATGAGAATGCGTTCACGTATTTGAACGCTATTCCACGTGAAAATTGGGCACTGTGCTTCGACGATGGACGACGTTACGGCATCCTCATAACAAATCTTTCCGAGAGCTTCAATAACGTTCTAAAGGGATGTCGAACACTTCCAATCACCGTACTGGTTAAGGCAACTTATAACAAAGTTGTCCAACTATTTGCCGATCGACGTAGGGCCGGTCAGATGTGGCGGCAAGATGGGTTCCTATATCCCCAAAATATATGGAAAGATATTCTTGAACGTTCGCAGAAAAGACATCAGTGCACTATTGTCCCGCATAACCGAACAACGGGAATATACTCTGTTTCCATCCGTGATTATCCGCCGGTAACGGTAAATCTCTCACGTTGCGAATGTGATTGCGGTTTTTGGAAGCAAAATGGATTTCCATGTGTGCACGCCTATGCAACATGCCATTTCTTAGAAATAACTGTAGATCATCTCATCCCGGACGTGTATAAATTAGGTGTGTACATCCGTACGTATGCTACAGATATTATGCCTATGCATGACGTAAGTGCGATGCCTCATACCGGATATGTAGTGATACCGCCTCAAAGTGCTCGATGCAGTCAAACCGGTAGGCCTCAAAGGACACGATTTACAAATGAAATGGATATGCGTCCGAGTAGGAGAGTACAAGAGTAAAAGTTTATATGTATTTTGTAACTCTTTTTCAATGAATAAAAATTTGTATTTCTTTGTCATGTTGTTGTTCAAGAAGAAATGAGTAATGAAATATTTATATTATTTATTTTTGCGGGAACATTGAATAAATTCGTAATACAATATAATTAAATATGTATATTCACTATTACAATCTCTAACATAACAATTGATTATTTCTTATTTAATAAAATAATACACATCTTTCCAACTGTAACTATCACTAAATTATTTATTTTTGTACATATTATGCTTCATATGCTCTATTATTTATCCCACTCACAATTTTTTATTGAAATATTTGTGTTTTCCTCTTCAAAAAAAATGTAACTAGCCAATCTAAAAAACCTAAGAAATCTATTAAAAAAACCTGTTGAAGCAAGGCACTCCCGTAAAAAAACCTGATGCCCACTCAACTTAGTCATTTACTCAAGCATCTTGTAAAAAAGTTAATGGTGGAATTGTTGGGAGGACTACACAGCGTACAACTCCAGCATCTTCCAGCATCTTGCAACAGAATTAAAACCCAATATCGGATTCGTCGAATCCGTTTTTTAACAGCTCCCACATAAACCCTACATATTTTGGATTCATGGAACACGTTTCCCATTTTTTAGAAACCCTAAAAAAAGTCCCGCATTTTGGCAACCCATGCATGGCACTCCCGTAAAAAAAGAAATCACCCCTCTTGACGGCTCTTCAGGAAAGAAAATTATTGGGTTTATTGATTATTCCTAATGATTAAAGGAATGTCAAAAAAAATCAAGGTGGATTAATAAATTAAACCATAGATGATTGATAAAGGAGGACATTGGACCTGTTTGGATATCGACGGCTTAGGCCAAACCGCCAATTTTTTGCAAAGGGAAACACTTCTTTTTGCAGCGTTTTGGCGTGAAACCACCAAGAAACAAACGAAGCCATTGTCCCAAGCCAGGATAAATGAGGAAAGTGTCATGGTAGGCGCGTGATGGCTAACAATACAACTTCACATCACATGACATGAATCAAAATATGAATATTGCTACACTAGGTTGTCGCTCGTAAACGATGCGTCATCACAAAGAATAGTCGTGTCATGAGCATTAAAATATAGTTATAGGAGATGACATCATGTCTATGGTAATTGATACCAAGAAATTTTGGGAGCGACTGATTGACTAAAGACTAAAAGAAAGTGTGAAATTTTCGAATAATCAATTTAGTTTTAAACATGGGCTCTCAACAAATAAGGCTTTTAATCATGTTCTTAGACAGGTTATGGAGAAGTATAAAGACATGAAAAATAATCTACATTTGATGTTCAACAAACAATCTGCATTTGATGCTCTGTGTAAAACCTTTTCCCCAAACATGTCGACTGGGATGAAGGGTAAATTTTATCGGTCAGCAATTACACCTGCATGAATGTATGACGTAGAGTGTTGGGCGGTGAAACAACGTCACCAAAATATGAGTGTGACAGAGATGTGTATGTTGTGTTGGATGTGTGGACATACCAGAAAAAATACTTGAGGAATGAGATGATCAGACAAAAGGTGGAAGTAGCACCTATAAAAGATAAGATGCACCAGTCGCGATTGCAGTGGTTTGGTCATGTACATAGAAGACTCAATGATGCACATGTTAGACGAGTTGAAAGGTGAGGAGAAGTGGCGGGAATGAGAGGGAGTGGAAGACCCAAATATATTTTGATTAGAAGAATCAGAACTAATATGCTTCTTCTTGGGTTTGATAAAAATGATTTTGGAGAGAGCAAAATGGACGGTGCATATTCGTGTTGACGATTGGTCTCTCTCGTTTTCTTTTATCTTTTTATCTTGTTTATATTTCTATGTGCATATGTTAATTTATCTTTTGTCTTTCATATGTTCTTTTATCTTTTTATCAGGCCCGGCCCAGCCCATGTGCAAGTGGAGCAACTGCACAGGGCCCCCAATTTTGGAGGGCCCCCAATTTTTCAAACCCTAGTAATATACCTAGGCCCATTAATAGAGTAATAATATGAAAAAAGACAGCCCCTCAGCCCTATCCAAGACTTCCTAATGCGTAAGACTCGTCACCTTGCCCTTCTGCGATAGACTACTGCGTACTCGAAGCTAAGCGTCGAACAAAAGGAGAAATCGAAGCGATGAAGACTGAGATTTTCGAGGAGACCAGCGATTTGAGCGGCTAGTAGGCTACGGAAACATCGGAAAGGTATGAAATTTCATCAATTTATTCTTTTTACCGTTAGATTTTAATGTAAAATATCTTCTATTCTTCTAGAATTCTTTTATTCATCAATCTGCTAGTCGCCTATCCTGCTACTGTGCTACGTACCCTGTGATTCTTCTTATTTTCGCTACTTCCGATTTCGTCAATCTTCAATCCTTCATTATTCTAATCTTCTTCAGACTTAAATTTTCCATTCATTCTTCGCTACTGTGCCCTGTTTTTTGTGTCTGCAGCAGGAAAGCCGAAGCAAGGTCTCAAGATTTCAGTGTTCTAGACACCTGGACCGCTGCTTGCAACTCTGCGAGTTATCAAGGCGTCAAGTGGGCATCGGCTATTCTGTTAAAAGTGTTAATCTGTTTGAGGACTTCAGCTTTCAGGTGTTTTTGTTCTCATTCCTAGTTCATACTTTTTAATTGTTAATTTGAATTCATCTGCATCTTATAAGTTACAATTTAGAAATTGATATTTGAAAATGCCTCCTAGAATTAGAAAGTATGAATCTGGAAATGAAAAACGAATGAAGAAAAAACAAACAGATGAGTTTATTTTATCTCAAAATTTGATAGAAGAGAACTTCAGAGTGTTTTTATGAATGAAAATATTAGGGCCTCCGATTTTTCTTTTTAACGGGGCCTCTCATTTGTCGGGACCGGCGCTGCCTTTAGTATGTTAAAGCATGATGCAGAAGACAGAGGCTTCACTTCCAAATCATCTGAAATTATGAACTCTGAAGGTTCTTGCGCGAAGTTTGTGCCGCCCTTGGGGTTCATCATAATTTTACTCCCAAACTCCGACAATTTTAGAGGTTGATTCTTACAGTCATGGTGCTGAGCAAGTGCAGGGAACGATAAGGATAAGGAATTCGTAGCACCAGATTCAAACCATTTGTCATCCAAGTCGACCATACTTGTATACAAGGCATCCATACAGCCTAACCCAGAATTCCATTTCAAATTATATACGATTGCACCGATAGGAATGGTCATGAATGTACAGAGGAAATCGAAGAACTCATTTGTGGCCTCTGCAAACAAAATCTTGTTTGAAGACTTGTTTAATGTCACTTTCAGATACAATTTTGGAACAGTTTTACTTTCATGCCGGAGAAGACCATTCGGTCCACGCATTAATAAGGATGCCAATCTTGGCTGGTTCAATGGTAGGCTAGGTAGGATCGAAGCTCCCATTTTTGGTAGAAACACATCAGTTAAAGGAGACTTTGAAACCAGTGAACGTGCTAGCAGACGGGTCACCTGCTCCTTGCTAACGTCTACAGACATCTCACTGATTTGGTTCATTTCGCTGGAACCAAGACCAGATAGAATCTGGGCAAGAACTGTTGGAGAAGAAGGATTAATTTGTAAATTGTCGCTGATGATGAACATTACCCTCCCCCTCTTCAGAAACGCACCGCCGTTATATCCATGACCCCCCAAAGAATCATCTGTTAATTTTCTTTCCTTTGGGGCCTTGGTCGTGTCACCACACTTGCAGGGAACATCTTCATACTTGCTTCCACAGCTTCCTCTGCTACACATGTATGTAACCTGAGACCCAGAATCGTCAACACTAATCTTCAATTTCTTGCAGTAGTCAGCGCGCGGATTTCTCGGGTTCAACACCATGGTCCTGCAGTGTTTGGTATACCAGATTTCTGGGTTCAGGTTTTCAAAAGCATGGTACAGCTTGTTCATGCAACCAATTTTCAGAGACGCTGCTTTTTGAGCATCTGTTTTGCTGGTGAGCCTGATTATGGTTCCCATGGGGATGGTGAGGAAGCTGAGGAGTATATCCGCGAAGTCTGAGTTTGCTTCGGCGGCTACCACTCGATTCACCTTCTCATCTATCAACAGCTTCAAGCAAACGGGAGATTCTTGATTTGCCGTATTCATATTATTATTTTCGATGTGATGATTCAGTTCATGCAATGAGGTAGATTAATAAGCCTAAACAGCCTCGATGCTGGGCAGGAAGATGTTCAATTCATTTCAATTCCATGCGAGTATCTAAGAGGCAGCAGAAGTTGGAAGGCCTGAAGTTTTCGTTCTGTCGAGACGTCAAGATCTAAAAAATCGCTTCTTTGGATAGTCATCTTCTGACTATTCTTTATTGGGAATTATTATCATCTATGTATAATAATTAGGAAATCATAATTATGATTCTAGATAATAATTGTGTGGTTCACAATTATCCTCTAATCTTAATAAGCTTAGATTTTTCTCTATAAATAGGAGTCTTCTCCATTGTATTAACGCACCTTGATGACACCATTAGAACGTCTCTAATACAACTCTATCACTAAGTGTTCATACCATATTTTCTCTCCCTAATCTTCTGCTTATTCCCTTCCATATTATAACACGTTATCAGCACGAAAACAAAAACAAAAATTACAATACGATGAACTGAGATCATGAAAATATCAGAATACTATTTTTCGAGTAGCATAGTTTTTCTTCGATACATAAATGAATAAACTATGAAGTGATGCGTGTGAATATATAAAACCTCTTCTGATTCAAAACTTTAGAAGAGTAGTATAAAATAGTTCTACATGTGAGGTGTTTTCATATACGGAGTACTATATTACTCATGTACTACGTATCTTTTATGTATATTATCCATAAAATAAATTATGAATTTGAATAGATAGAAGACTAGAGGAATGAATCTATATGGATGAACTATGACATCTGGAATGAAAAGATAATACTCGTATGATAGAGGAGATGGTTTAAAACCTAAATGGAAGAAACTGATATATTTCTTATACGATAGTATATGATAGCTATACTCACGGGTCTCTGAACATTATCCTTCCCTTCACATGCAATGGATTATGAACAGTCGGATAGCATGCCGCATTGTTTGTCTGTATTTGTTTAAATGATATGGAGTACTTTGTAGAACTATCAGACTATCAAAACAAAATTAATCCATTTAATTCAAACTAATAATTAGAAAACAAATAATGATGCAAATTGATTGAAATGACATATCGGTGGACTCTTCAATTTAATACGGTGTAAGTGATAAATTTTGTTGTATCATGGCTACACATTATTCATACGCCCTATAAATATTGAGATATAAGGGTTTATAGAGACGGGCCAATAGGTCCATAATACATCATTTACATAGGATGATCTATACTACAAATCTATCTATTTTTCCTTCTTTTTTTCTCTTTTCACCTTCCTAAAAAAGATGTTTTTTCTTTGTCCCTTTTCACCCCTTTCGTTTTCGCATACTTTTGACATGTTTGTGAATATTGACGATTTGTTGATCTGGATTTTTCTTATTTTTCCCTTTTCAGATAATGTTTCTCACATCTACCCTTCTTTGTGTAAAGAGTATATGTAAGTTTTCATTTCTTACATTTCTCTGATTGTTATTTTTCTTTAAATTTGATTTTTCCCTAATCTTTTAATCACAAATCTTTTTTCAATAGTTGATAAAAATTATGAGAGAACTTAGAAAAATACGATGATGCATAAAAGGAGAACAATACATATTGATGGTGGAATTCAGGTAACAAGAAGAAAAATAGAAGAAAAAAGAAAAAATACGCAACAGAGTAACAAGAAGAAACAAGGGAAAAGTCAAAAAAAAAATAACAAAAATTAATGTGGAAAAAAGATCTTTGATAAAAAGAGAATTATTAAAAAAATAAATAAATAAAGAGGGAAATGAAATAAAAATACAAGAATAAAAAAAATGACAAAAAATCTATCCAAAAGAAATTTTACGGAAAAAACTCTTGTAATAGAGTGAGAATAAGATTAATAAATATGGAAAATAAATAAAAACAAAAGGAGGATGACTGGATGAGCCATGGCTCACGGTAAAATACACGGTACGGCGGGCTGTAGCGTGCGCACGGTACAGCCGGTCTTGTTTTGGGCTTTGCGCTTCTTCGTTCCGCATTAGAAGAAGATCCGACTTCGCATCAACCTTCGCACCAGTTTCTCCAATCTAGCTTGGTTGTTCCTTCTTCGATCTAGCTTCGCCACTGGCTGACTGTCGTCAACGCACCACTGGTTTCTTTTGCTCGTCGCCGCCGCTCACGGCTCATCCCCTTCTCCTCTAGCACGGAAGCAGCAGATCCGTCTGCGCAATTACTTCTCTCCCTCTGTCTTTCTTTTCACTATTTTTTTTTTATTTTCCCTTTTTCTTATTCAGTTTTGCTGTTTGAGATTGTGATTTTGAAAGACAAAGAGAGCCAACTGCAGACAAAGGAATCCTTACTGCTATTGATCTCAAATGAGTTTTATATCAAAGTCAAATGAGTATACACATAAAAGAAATGAACATACACAACTGAATACTAAGCACGTTAAAAATGAGTTTTATATTAAATTCAAATGAGTATACGCATAAAAGAAATGAACACACACAACTGAATATTAAACACATTAAAAATGAATTTTATTTTAAACTGAAATGAGTATAACGCATGAAATCAATGAGCATACACAAATGACCTTTTGAATTTTTTGATACTCTTTTTGTAAATTATGTATGCTCACTTGGTACTGCTTTATGCTCATATTAAAATATTGCACATATCAAACATATCATACTACATTAAATTCATATATTGAAATTGATTATAAACATCATTTAATATTTTTTTATAAACCAAAAAATTATAAAAAGAAACTGAATTAGAAGATATGAAGCAGAGATCACCGGTGCTCATTATTAGGCTCCCAATACTCAAAAGAAAAGACTTGATGCTCATGAAAATCGCATCAATGCTCATTTAAGAGAAATCATGATTTTCACCAAAATTACAAGTTTGTCACCGGCTGTACGGTCGGCACCGTACAACCGGCTGTACCATATACGCTTCCATGGCTCACGGGCGTCACAGCACTGGATCAAACAATTTCGAACCTTGGTTTTTCCACTCTTTTCAGGTAGCTAAAACTAAACAATGAAAAATACTCCCTCCGTCCCGCAATGAACTTCCCACTTTCCTTTTTTGGATGTCCCAAAAACAAGTTCTCATTTCCTTAAATGACAAGTTAATCTACATCAAAATAATGTCAAACAGTGCAAAACAGTGCTAAACAGTGTCGAAACAGTGCCAAACAGTGTCGAAACAGTGTCAAAACAGTAAAATTTACCTTATGGTAAGTTTATTTCCTTAATATGTGTGTAGATCAAACTGTGAAGTTCATTGCGGGACGGAGGGAGTACTTCTTTCACTCTTATAAACCCGTTTGGGTCCGATCAAACGAAATAAAATATAAACTCATTCCCGTGAAAAACAATCGGGATTGGGTCGGGTCTAGACCCATTGAACAACCTAGACACGTTCTATGGAGGATGACCGGATGAGCCATGGCCCACGGGACTCCAACCGTGAACAAATCTGAATCATCGCTACTCACCTTTTACACATTCACGATCAGATAGCCCCCGTCTCGAATCCTTTTCTGCAAGCATCGCTAGTCGGACATATCTGAATCGAATTACTCCCATCCTTGTTGATTTGGGTAGACCGGTAGACTTAATTTCTAAACTCTTCTCCACTTCATTTCTCCCACCCGATCTGGATCTCAAGGAGAAAAATCACCATTTCCATTTTTTCTTCATCACAGGTTTTGGAACGAAGGAAACGAATCTTTGATAGGTAATTTTCGTTTTTCTTATTTTTTTCGGTTTTTCTTAAGGTTTGAATGGCTTTATTCTACTTATATTGCTATAGGGGTTGTATTGTTTTTGCAAGGGACTATAGCTGTTGTATTATTCTCTAGATGTTCATGTATTTTCATTTTCATTGTTGCATATCTGTGTATATGTATATAAATAGAGGACTGGTCTGGTCAGTCCAGACCGGCCGGATCTCCCAGACGCGTTTCCAAAAATTTAATAAATTTTAGGGCCTGCTCAAACGGAATAATCAAACCTTATTATTCTATTTATGGTGATTTTTATGTAGTTTTGCTCATAGCAGTACATAATATCACAAAATTGTACTACGTATTTTATATCCTGAAATACAAAAGATTAGTTTACAGAACTAAGCCATTGAGTTTATTTAACAAAGAGTTTTACATAATATATACATGATTTGTGTATCTAGAAAAAGCTAACCTATGTCAATAGAGAATATACTCTATTTTGTCAATTAAATTAGAAACTGTTGTTAATATAGAATATTGGAGTGCTTCCACTTTTGAGATAAAATAAACATTTGGAATTTATTTTTGAAAGAACATTGAATTTCAAATTATTCAGTATTGCTATTTAAAAAAAATCTGTCACCGCACTTATTTTCAAATCTCTCAAGTACATAGTTATTTCAACGAATGAATTCCAGTGTCTAAGAATATCATTTTCGATTTGCACATCGCTTGTCTAAAAATCAATCACATTCCTTTTCATTCCTTTTATTTTTCTTCTGCATATGCGTTTTGTACATACCTTTCTATATGAAGACATATTAAAGTAGTGTTATTGAAAATAACTGCCCTTGATTATTAACTTTTAATTTGTAACCAAATTCTTGGGTGTAGCCTCTCGAAGTAATATATATCTTTGTAGACTGTTTTAGTTTGGATGTATGAAGGAAAATCTTTTTGTTGATATGGAATCTAAATTTTATTTGTTGTCCATCCAGAAAACCAAAATCATAAAGTGTTCTTGCAGATTCCTTTTCTTGTTTCTGGGCATGTATTTTTGTTCATTGCCAAGTTGTTTAAGAGGATTGTACATGTATTTGATCTAATTATAACATTAGTCTCTCTTCACATGCATTGTAGCACATAAACTATTATTCAAAACCATTTTTTGTCTAAATTATAACTCCAGGGTGACCAAATCCCAATTAGTTTACAATTGGTCATTTGGTCACTGAACACATAAACTATATATAGATTGTGTGATTTGAAATTGTTTTTGTGTCAAAATCAATAATGTCAGGCTAGATCTTTACTACTTTTTCTTTTCACACTCATTTCTGTTGACTTTTTTGAACATTTGATTTACTTGAAGGAAATGGCGTTCTCTGTTTGCAAAGCGACTTTGTATCCATTCAGACGTTACACTCAGGCTCTCTCTCTCTCTCTAAAATTTGGTATCCATTTACAGACTATTTGTTTAATGATTTGATTTACTGACTGTTTTTTGTCCTTTTACGAAAATCATATTGCAGAAGGTTGTTGATTCATCATCCAGACATGGATTTCATATTGAAGCTGGTGCTCGGGAGAAGGCTGTGAGTACTTTCCTCTTATCAAACTTTAATCAGTTTCCTTGTTTTTCAGACCCTTTTTTGAGTACTTGGGTAGTTAATCTC